GGAGGCCGGCCGGGCGGGCGGGCGGACTCCCGAGCCCACAGGCCTAGAGGAAGGTAAAAGCTTAACTTATTAAACGTGCCGACACTCTTTTTTCTCAAAATCTGTTAACTTTAATCCTTTCACATACTTTATTCAGCAAATAAGTATTTTAGGGCTACAAAACCCAAATGCACCGGCAGTGACTGGAGAAACCTGAATATTGTGCAGGCACTTTTCCCTGAGGGCCAGCAGAGGGCGCTCTGAACACGCACGGCTTCCGCTCTGAACAAACACACCGACTTGGGGGAGCCACTCGCCAGTGCACACATGTGAATAGATTAGGCCTCAGAACTGCCGCTGCTTACTCACTTGGCTGGCACTTGTGTTAAAAGGACTGCACTTTTAAAGGGCTTATCTGGAGTTACCGCTTTTTAAGAATTGAGAAGAGCAAAGCCAGTCTTTTTTCTCATTTCAGTTAAAACTAATGCTATATATATGCTTCAAAGATTAGGCCAGCCAGCCTTCAAACGCCTTCCAGTCTCAAAAAGGGTAGATAGAAAGTCGGCCTGATGTCCACTCGGTGGTCGCCGGAACTGCACCCTGTCCCAGGGCCTTGGCGCTGCACTGAGGCCGGTTTGTAGGCCACCATGGAGGCCTGGTCATTTTCAGCAGAACTGTCTTCCGTTTAAAAAGCTGCGCTAGACAGTCATACTCTCCCTGACCACCCCCCTTCCGGGGTAATACCTCTCAGAGCATTTGTATGATGTGAAACTAGGCACCGCCGTGCCATGTAGGAAGCTAGGATTACTTTTCCTTTCCTGTGTAACTTCTTATTTTCCTGGAGTTGCAGCTGTGTGTACATTGGCTTCTTTAGTTTTCTGTATGTTTATCCCTCACTCAACCTCAAGCTCATCATCAGTGCTCAAAACCTGTCCGCTAGGTGTTGAGACAAACGAGATGTTTTATCAGCTTCATTTTTCTGTGGACCCGCTGTTCTCCAGGCTCTCTCCAGAGCTCCCTCCACCATTCTTGTCCCGGGATTCCCATTACTGATGGTGAACCTTATGTTCCTACAATTTTTGTTTTCTTAGTCTGCTGCTTCATTTTATAGAACCCACTAGATGTCCGGTGCACAAAATTTGTGCAGGGGTTGGGGGGAGTCCCTCAGCCCAGCCTGCACCCTTTCCAATCCAGGACCCTCAGGGGATGTCCAACTGCTAGGATCAGGCCTAAACCAGCAGTGGGACATCCCTCTCTCAATCCAAGACTGCTGGCTCCTAACCACTCGCCTTCCTGTCTGCCTGATCTCCCCTAACCACTCGCCTGCCTGCCTGATTGCCCCTAATTTCTCTCCCCTGCTGGCCTGATTGCCCCTAACCACCTCTGCCTCGGCCCCACCACTTTGGCTTTGTCCAGTCTAATTAGCATATTACCCTTTTATTAGTATAGATACTGACTGTAGCAACTTCTTGAAGGAAAGGTACATGAAGTGTACTTTTTGAGGTTTTACATGTCTGAAAAGGTTCTTTTTCTTTCTTAGATATTGTTTCTCCCTGTCATTATTCTAGAGAGTTTATGCATGTTATTTTTTTAGTTTATGCTTTTAGAAAAGTCTTGGTATTGTTTAGTGGAATATTGGGAAGGAGTAAAATTAGATCCATAAGCTCAATTTTATGTTTGTGGTCACTGGTTTAATATGATTAACTTTCTTTCCATCCCTGTTTTTACAGTTCCTGATGAGCATCTATTATTGTAAGTATATGTCTTATTATGTGTGGGGGCTTTTAGTCATTAATGTGTTTTAAAAGCCAAATCCTTTCTCTTTTTTAAAAATCTAAAAAACAAACTAGAAATAATATTTTCTTGACATGATTATTAAAAACCCACTTCAAGTGAATAGCCAAAACCATATTTGATTGTACAAGGCATTCCTACATTGCCCTGTATACCACTTTATTTATAATTGTTTAGAAGTGTAGCTGTTACAAGAAATTAGAATACCTAAATGCAAGCAAAGACAATATCATTATTTGTAGATGATAGAACTACTTTTTTAAAACCAAGAAAATAAAGTTAAGTTCAAAAATATAGACTCTCAATAGCAACAAAAAAGTGAAAGCTACCTAAAAATAAATAATATTTAATGGGGAGCGCCACCAGTCGGCATTGTCAGGCGGAGGTTCCGT